GGATGGTTGCTAGGGTGTTGCTATTCGGTTGCTAAGGTACCCGGGGCGGTTGCTAAAGTGTTGCTATGCGGTTGCTAGGGTACCCGGAGAGGTTGCTAAGGTGTTGCTATGCAGTTGCTAGGATGTTGCTATGTGGTTGCTAGGGTACCCGGGGTGGTTGCTAAGGTATTCGGGGTGGTTGCAATGGTGTTGCTATGCGGTTGCTAGGGTACCCGGGTTAGTTGCTCGTATGTTGATATATGGTTGCTAGGGCACCTAGGGCAGTTGCTAGTGGTTTGAGTCTTACCTCTCAGATAGGTCCTTCAAGGTATCGCTAGGGTATTGCTTTGTGGTTGCTAGTTTACCTGGAATGGTTGCTAATGTGTTGCTATGCGGTTGCTAGTGTACTGGGGTGGTTGCTAGGGTGTTGCTATGCGGTTGCTATGGTACCCGGAGTGATTGCTAAGGTGTTGCTAGCAAGGTGTTGCTAGGGTGTTGCTATGTGGTTGCTAGGGTACCCGGGACGGTTGCTAAGGTGCTGCTATGCGGTTACTACGCTACCCGAGGTTGCTAGGGTGTTGCTACGCGGTTGCTAAGGTACTTGGGGTGGTTGCTAGGGTGTTGCTATGCGGTTGCTAGGGTACTTGGGGTGGTTACTAGAGCGTTTGCTACGTTACACGGGATGGCTGCTAGGGTGTTGCTATGCGGTTGCTAGGATACACAGGGTGGTTGCTTCGTTGTTGCTATGCGGTTGCTAGGGTATTTAGGGTTCTAGGGTGGTTGCTAATGTGTTTCTATGCAGTTGCTTGGGTACCAGAGATGGTTGCTAGGGTGTTGCTATTTGGTTGCTAAGGCACTCGTGGTGGTTGTTATGCGGTTGCTAGGGTACCCGGGGTGGTTGCTATGGTTTTGCTATTTGGTTGCTAGGGAACCTAGGGCAGTTGCTAGGTTTTTTAGCAACACCTTTGCAACCACCCCAGGTACGCTAGCAACCGCATAGCAACACCCTAACAACCAACCCGAGTACCTTAGCTACCGCATAGCTACACCCTTGCAACAGCATAGCAACACTTTATCAACCGCCCTGAGTACCCTAGCAACCGAATAGCAACACTCTAGCAACAACAACGAGTACCTTAGCAACCGCATAGCAACACCTTAGCATCCGCCCCGGGTACCATAGCAACCGCATAGCAACACCTTAGCAACCGCCACGGGTACCCTAACAACCGCATAGCAACACCATAGCAACCTCCCGAATACTTTAGCAACTGCATAGCAACAGCTTAGCAACCGCCCCGGGTACCCTAGCAAGCACATAGCAACACCTTAGCAACCATACGGGTACCCTAGCAACCACATAGCAACAACCTAGCAACCATCCTGGATAACCTAGCAAATGCTCTAGTAACCACCCCAAGTACCTTAGCAACCGCATAGCAACACCCTAACAACCATCCCGGGAACCCCAGCAACTGCATAGCTACACCTTAGCAACTTCTCCGAGTACCTTAGCAACCACATAGCAACACCGTAGCAACAGCATAGCAACACTTTATCAACCGCCCTGAGTACCCTAGCAACCGAATAGCAACACCCTAACAACCATCCCGGGAACCCCAGCAACTGCATTGCAACACATTAGCAACTTCCCCGGGTACCCTAGCAACCGCATAACAACCACCCCGAGTACCTTAGCAACTGCATAGCAACACCATAGCAACCACTCCGGGTACCCTAACAACCGCATAGCAATACCATAGCAACCGCACCGGGTTCCCTAGCAAACATATAGTAACAACCTAACAACCACCCCGGTTACCCTAGCAACCACATAGCAACCACCCCGAGCACCTTAGCAAACGTATAGCAACCAAATGGCCACTCCCTAGCATCCATCCCGGGTACCCTAGCAACTGCATAGCAACACCTTAGCAACCACCCCGGGTACCCTAGAAACCACATAGCAAGACCATAGTAACCACACCGAATACCCTAGCAACCACATTGCAACACCATAGTAACTGCCCTAGGTACCCTAGCAACACCCTAGCAACTAACCCGGGTACCCTAGCATCCGAATAGCAACACCTTAGCAACCACCGTGGGTACACTAGCAAACGCATAGCAACAACTTAGCTATCATCCCTGGAAACCTAGCAAACTCTCTAGAGACCACACCAAGTACCCTAGCAACCGCATAGCAACACCTTAGCAACCACACCAGTACACAAGCAACCGCATAGCAACACCATAGCAACCATCCCGGGTACCATAGCAACCACATAGCAACACCCTAGCAACCACCCCGAGTACCTTAGCAACCACCTGAATACCTTAGCAACCGCATTGCAACACCTTAGCAACCGCCCCGGTTACCCTAGCTACCGCATTGCAACTCATTAGCAACCATCCCGGGTACCCTAGCAACCACATAGCACCAACCTAGCAACTGCCCTAGGTATCCTAGCAACCATATAGCAACAACCTAGCAACTAACACGAGTAACCTAGCAACCGCCCTAGTAACAACCCCAAGTACCCTAGCAACAGCATAGCAACATCATAGCGAGCACCCAGAGTACTTTAGCAACCGCATAGCAACACCTTAGCAACCGCCCCGGGAACCCTAGCAACCATATAGCAACACCCTTGCAACCAACCCAGTACCTTAGAAACTGCATAGCAACACCTTAGCAACCGCCCGGGGTACCCTAGCAACCGCATATCAACATCTTAGCAACTGCCCCTGGTCCCCTTGCAAATGCATATCAACACCCTAGCAACCACCCTGATTACCTTTGTAACCACATAGCAAAACCTTAGCAACCGCCCCGGGTACCCTAGCAACTGTATAGCAACACCCTAGCAACCACCCCGAGTACCTTAGCAACCACCCGAATACCTTAGCAACCGCATAGCAACACCTTAACAACCGCCCCGGGTACCCTAGCAACCGCATTGCAACTCATTAGCAACCATCCCGGGTACCCTAGCAACCACATAGCACCAACCTAGCAACTATATAGCAACAACCTAGCAACTAACCCGAGTAACCTAGCAACCGCCCTAGTAACAGCCCCAAGTACACTAGCAACAGCATAGCAACATCATTGCGAGCACCCAGAGTACTTTAGCAACCGCATAGCAACACCTTAGCAACCGCCCGGGAACCCTAGCAACCACATAGCAACACCCTTGCAACCAACCCAGTACCTTAGAAACTGCATAGCAACACCTTAGCAACCGCCCAGGGTACCCTAGCAACCGCATATCAACATCTTAGCAACTGCCCCGGGTCCCCTTGCAAATGCATATCAACACCCTAGCAACCACCCTGATTACCTTAGCAACCGCATAGCAAAACCTTAGCAACAACCTCGGGTACCCTAGCAACCGTATAGCAACACCCTAGCAACCACCCCGAGTACCTTAGCCACCGCTATGCAACACCCTAGCAACTGAAAAGCAACACTTTAGCAACCACACCGGGTTCCCTAGCTACAGCATAGCAACAGCTTAGCAACCACCCCAGGTACCATAGCAACCGCATAGAAACACCCTAGCAACCACCCCGAGTACCTTAGCAACCGCATAGCAACACTTTAGCAAACGCCCTGGGTACCCTAGCAACCGACTAGCAATACCCTATCAACAATCCTGGGTACCCTAGCAACCGCATAGCAACACTCTAGCAACTGCTCTGGGTACCTAGCAACCGCATAGCAACACCATAGCAACAACCCGAATACCTTAGCAACCGCATAGCAACAGCTTAGCAAACACTCCGGGTATCCTAGCAACCGCATAGAAACACCTTAGCAACTAACACGGGTACCATAGCAACTGCCCTGGTACCCTAGCAACCATATAGTAACACCCTAGCAACTAACCCCGGTACCTTAGCCACCGCTATGCAACACCCTAGCAACTGAATAGCAACACCTTAGCAACTATCACAGGTACCCTAGTAACCACATAGCAACACCCTAGCAACTAACCCGGGTACCCTAGCAACCGCATATGAAACCTTAGCAACCACCCCGGGTACCCTAGCAGCCGCATAGCAACACCCTAGCAACCACCCCGAGTACCTTAGCAACCGCATATCAGCACCTTAGCAACAACACCGTGTACCCTAGCAACCGCATAGCAACACCCTAGCATCCACCCCGAGTACCTTAGCCACCGCTATGCAACACCCTAGCAACTGAATAGCAACACCTTAGCAACTATCACAGGTACCCTAGTAACCACATAGCAACACCCTAGCAACTAACCCGGGTACCCTAGCAACCGCATATGAAACCTTAGCAGCCACCCCGGGTACCCTAGCAGCCGCATAGCAACACACTAGCAACCATCCCGGGTAACCTAGCAAACGCTCTAGTAACCACCCCAAGTACCCTAGCAACCGAATAGCTACACCGTAGCAACCACCCCGAGTACCTTAGCAACCGCAAAGCAACACACAAGCAACCTCGGGTACTGTAGCAAACGCATAGCAACACCTTAGCAACCGCTCCGGAAACCCTAGCAATCGCATAGCAACCCTTTAGCAACCGCCTAGGGTACCTTAGCAACCGTATAGCAACACCCTAGCAACCATCCCGGGTTCTCTACCAACCGCATAGCAGCACCCTAGCAACCTCAAACAACACCTTAGCAACTGCCCCGGATACCCTAGCAACCACAAAGCAACACCCTAGCAACTGCATTGCAACACCTTAGTAACCACCCTAAATACCCTAGCAACCGCATAGCAAAACCTTAGCAACCATCCCGGGTATGCTAGCAACCACATAGCAACAAACTAACAACTGCCCTATGTACCCTAGCAACCATATAGCAACACCCTAGCAACTAACCCGGGTACCCTATCAACCGCATAGCAACACCTTAGCAACCACCCCGGGTACCCTAGTAAACGCATATCAACATCCTTGCAACCATCCCGGATAACCTAGCAAACGCTCTAGTAACCACCCCAAGTACCCTAGCAACCACATAGCAACACCGTAGCAACCACCCCAAGTACCTTAGCAACCACCCGAATACCTTAGCAACCGCATAGGAACAACTAAGCAACAGCCCCGGGTACCCTAGCAACCGCATAGCAACTCATTTGCAACCACCCGAATACCTTAGCAACCGCATATCAACAGCCTAGCAACCATCCCGGGTACCCTAGCAACCACATATCAGCACCCTAGAAACCACCATGAGTACCTAAGCCACCACATTGCAACACCCTAGCAACATTATTGCTACACCTTAGCAACAACCCCTGGTACCCTAACAACCGCGGTTGCTAGGGTACCCGGAGTGGTTGCTAAGGTGTTTCTATGCGGTTGCTAGGGTGTTGCTATGCGGTTGCTAGGATACCCGGGGTGGTTGCTAAGGTGTTGCTATGCGGTTGCTAGGGTACCCAGGATGGTTGCTAAGGCGTTGCTATGCAGTTGCAAAAGTATTCAGGGTGGTTGCTAGTTTGTTGCTAGGTTGTTGCTATGCGGTTGTTAAGGTAGCAGGGGTGGTTGCTAAGGTGTTGCTTTACGGTAGTTAATGTATTCAGGGTGGTTGCTAGGGTTTGCTATGTGGTTGCTAGCATACACGGGATGGTTGCTAAGGTGTTGCTATGCAGTTGGTAGGGTTCCCGGGCGGTTGCTAAGTTACTTTGGGTGGTTGCTGGGGTGTTGGTATGCGGTTGCTAGGGTACTTGGGGTGGTTACTAGAGCGGTTGCTAGGTTTCCCGGGATGGTTGCTAGGGTGCTGCTATGCGGTTTCTAAGGTTTTCGGGGTGGTTGCTAGGGTTTTGCTTTGCGGTTGCTAGGGTACCAGATGTGGTTGCTATGCGATCGCTAGGGTAGCCGGGTTAGTTGCTAGGGAGTTGCTATATGGTTGCTAGGGTACCTAGGGCAGTTGTTAGGGTTTTGCAATGTGGTTGCTTGGGTACCATGGGCGGTTGCTAAGGTGTTGCTATGCGGTTGCTAATGTACTGGGGTGGTTGCTACGCTGTTGCTACCCAGAGCGGTTGCTAAGGTGTTGCTATGCAGTTGCTAGGGTTCCCGGGGCGGTGGCCAAAGTGTTGCTATGCGGTTGCTAAGGTACTGGGGTGGTTGCTAGGCTGTTGCTACCCAGAGCGGTTGCTAAGGTGTTGTTATGCAGTTTCTAGGGTTCCCGGGGCGGTGGCTAAGGTGTTGCTATACGTTTGCTAGGGTACCCGGGGCGGTTGCTAAGGTATTGCTATGCGGTTGCTAGGTACCCAGAGCAGTTGCTAGGGTGTTGCTATGTGGTTGCTAGGGTACCCGGGATGGATGCTAGGGTGTTGCTATGCGGTTGCTAGGGTATCCGGGGCGGTTGCTAAGGTGTTGTTTGAGGTTGTTAGGGTGTTGCTATGCGGTTGCTAGAGTACTTTTACTTTACTTTACTTTACTTTTAGTCATTTAGCAGACGTTTTTATCCAAAGCGACTTACAAATAAGAAAAAGTAATTAAAACTAAAAGCTAAAATTCTATAAATACTATCTATATATACACACATATTTAAGAAAATAAAAGAAATTAAATAAAAATGACAAATGCATACAACAAGATTTCAAAACTAAAACATTTAAATGAAAAAAAAAAAAAAAACCAAAAAAAAATAAAAAAATATAAAAAAAACAAAAGGTATGAG